AACATAAAGATGATTAAAAGATTGAACCGCTTATTGGACTCTAGTGATCTCAGCTGCCATTAAAACACAAAGAAGAAAAAGAGGCATAACGTCTGTAGGTTCTTAATGTCCTTATTGAAGCTTTAGCTTGACACTCGTCAGACTCCCTTGTATCCAAAACACTCCGAAAATAAATCCAGGAGTCCGCTTCTTGATTTTAACGGTTTTCTGGAAAACTTAACGCAACATTACAGAAAACATAAAATACATCCATGAAATTAAGTCCTTTTAAAGTCCAACAGAGCCTGGGAACGGTGAGGTCAAAAAAATACTGAGCTCCAATCTCCATCTGATTCCCACTGCATTCCTCACCTGGCGTGAAGATAAACCCCTCCCCCTTCGTGGGTTTTTAAATGTCACAATAAAAGTCATATCTTATTCACAATATCAATTAACTGAACATATAAAAATAGCATTTTTTGTATTCTTTTAAATCCCTTTGAATCATTAAATCAAAAACAATATTTATCTTACTTATGAATTTGCATATTTTTAAATAAAATAAAAAACAAATATTTTAACTCAAATAAACTGCATTTAGGCTCCTAAAACTTCTTTAACAGCCGAAGAAATAAAAGCAGAAGTTCGTGATCACAGCTGCCCCGTGTTACGGTGAGGATGTTAATCGATTAGTTTAATTTGGACTGAGCTGATCCCCTGATCAATGTTAACTTTAAGTCCAGTTTAAACAATAATCTATGAAAAGAAATTAGACACGACCAGAGTTTGCTGCTGGTCTGAGTGAAATAAGACTGATTGAAAACTGCTTGTAAGGTTTTAATCTATTTCAGTGGTTACTCTTTTAATTAGGGCTGAAACAATCAGGTTAGTCAGGATTAATTGATTAATTGTCAACTAATTTAATATTTGATAATCGTTACCTGGACTCTAAAACGTGCCTTTAGTTGATAGAGTGACCCATCAGAGCAGGAATTATACAGGAATTTGTAAAAACATTTAAAATTTAAGTTAAAAGAAACATTTTCATCTGTCAATATGATTTATCCAGAAGTCCACAAGTGGAAACATTTTCACAGGGTTTAATTTCATTAATAAATCTTCTTTTAAGGAACCTTTGGCTATCCGATTAAAAATCAAACAATAAAAAAAATAATCAACAGATTAATCGATTAGCAAAATAATCGTTAGTTGCAGCCCTAAGGTTAATAAAAAAACCAAAACAAACATGAACATCTATCCAGACCAAAGCTCCTGTTACGGTCGGCCATCTCCCTGTGCAGGGGGGGTTAAAGTCTACCCGTCTCTGCCAGGGCCCCTGACCTGCTAATCTAGACAGCCATAGGTCTACAGTGACTGGAAGGTGCAAATGTACTGCAGATACATCAAAGGAAGCAGATCAATAAAAAACAAGCAAAAGAAGAAGCATCCGGCGGTTTGGAGGGAAGCCGTGATCTAGTTTGATCTGTGTGAGAATCCAACAGCAGCTAGAAAACAGGCAGGAAT